ATTTGTCAAACACAACTTTGGCCGATGAGTGACAATATTTCATTCAAAGTGGACCTGTCACGCGAGTTAAAAGTTATCTGAAGAGTTAGGTCACGAAAGCTATTCAAACAAAATGAGACTAAGTATGTTTCTGTCTTTCCCCATATATTCCAATTTAAAAAAAAAAAAAAAGGTATCGCATATTTCTTTTTGTCCTTGAGAATCAAATCTCAGAGTAATGACCCAAAGTATCACGAACATGATTGCAAATTTGCATATATTCACATGTAACACTGGATATCTTGTTGTGTTCGTTGATACTGATCAGTTTCTAAGAATTAGACAGAAAACTCACTTTTAAAGCATGGGATTTCAAAACACTACTAACACTCTCTTATAAAAAAAAATGCTTTAGCTCAGGGGAAGTTCGGATGCATCTGAAGGAAATCTAATCTTTACAAAGGCCGCAGTTCACGGCAACAGGCTGCGTGATTGTGGTTAGTGCATCGACTTGAAAGTTCCATCCATGGAGAAAAATTAGAAATACTGAAAAGAATCGTCTCAAGTCAACAATAGTTTATTTGTAGCTTTCGATCTTCAAAGACGATTGAAGATTTTAGTCACTTCGATTGCTCAATTAAGGAAATGGCGACTCTTTCGTTTTATAGATTAATGTGACTGCAACGTGCAAAACGTTAAAGTGTTCTTACCTTTTCTGTTGCCTTCCAGTGCATTGTAATTGAGTGGACTGAAATCATTTCGCTTTTCGTTCCCTTTAACCTTAATTTTTTCAGAAGGTACAATTTTGAAATAATCACACTGAGATAGACAACGAATTAACTTTATTCAGGATTTTCTTGGAAAATGTTCATGCAATCGTTTGAGGATTTCGACACTTCCGGTGTAATCAGATACGGAAACAAAAATTCCAACCCCAAAATACTATATTTACTATAAGTAGAATTCGGTTGTTGCCCTTTAGCACATATTGGATCAATATCGTGAAAAGTTTAGTTGCAAAATACTTTGATTGATTCATAAATGTAAATTGCAACCTTTAAGATAACAACAAAGATTTTCTTCGAAACGTACTCGATCATTACCATACTTCCTTGTCACGGTAGCTAAGCATGCACATTGTGATTATGTTTCGTTTTTCCGGGAAACTTCTTAAAATGCGAAAAAACATTTATCAGAATGCTGCTTAAAACTTCTGAGCATTTCCAGAGGTTCCAATAAAAGGCCCGATTATTAGCGGTCTACCATCGGCTATAAGGTCCTGTAAGACCTCATACCGCCGTTTGATTAGCCAGGTTCCGTTTAGCAGTTCCAGTTTAGTAGGTTCTTGTGTTTGGATTTCACGTTACGGCCTCCCATACTTTCGGCAGCCGTTCAAGGAAAAAAAATTATGGAATCCCCTGTATTTCTGCGAACTACCGATCAAAATAGTGCTTTAAAAAGTGCGGAAATATGAGATGAATGCTTCTGTTAAAAAGCGTTGGTTAAAGAAAGTTAAACTTACGTTATGCTATGCCGAGAGGGACTCGTAGGTATGGATCGTCACTTGAAATTAGTACGTATTCAGAACTAGAACATACATGTAATCTCGGGAGGAAACTGAAAAATAATTTTAAACTTGATTATAGAATGCTGGGATTGGAGACGCATAAATACGGTTCAATCATCAAATTTATGCTAATTTTCTTGAAGAATTACGAACGACTTTTTCGTTCCTGTCGGCTTTTTCAATCATGATCCTTAATTGTGATTTAGATTGGAGGTTATACGTCCAAAATAGAAGTTTTGCGTCTTTCTCTCCTTCATCCCTGTATATGTTTGCAGTGAAATAAACTCAATCAAAAAGCTCTGAAAACATCGCAGTGGAGGTATGTAAATGTTTTTAGCGGTCTTTCTAAGAAAAAAGACAGAACGGTGATATAACTCGACTCCTTCTTTCTTAAGGGGTCAGGGAATCAACATGTTACAGAAGAAGTTACTTAGGTGTAAGGGAACAAGTATTGATTTCAGGAAATGTACCTTAGCACGAGCTGTTTGGAAGTATTTAAAGATCATTTTATTAAATGATAAAAAGTGCTCTTAGCTGCCGTTGACCGACCTAAGACTGGCAAAGGCTACTAGCGTGGGCTGTTTAGGTCGCGTGACAGGCTCATGAAACGATCGGCAAAACAACCAGCAAAGTATTTTCAGTTTCATTTTTAAGCAGACATAAAAGTTAGGCATTAACCCCTAGCTTCCTCATTGTCGTAAATAGTTTTTCACAGTTCATTCTGTGCAACCAAAAAAGGTAAGAAAGGTTGAGAGAACTAGTTAATCATTATTCTGTAAATCAGTGTTCCAAGCGACCGATTTGCTTCGCTGCGGCTCATTTATCATCCGCTTATGGTTACCAAAGTTCCTATTCTTTCAAATAGAAATGAAAAACAAGATTAATTTCCCTAACTTAGCTTATTTCTTTATAGAAAACGAGGGAAAGATCTATCGATTTCCTGGGCGTAATGTTTTTGTGAGCTGTCCATCGAGAAGTGGTAGTGGACAAAACATTGAACAAACTGAAAGATTTCCGTAATACCTCTTCGCTCGACAAACAAATATACGGATAAGAATATAAAAAAAAAATAAGAGGGCAAGAAAAATAAATATTTGAGAGAAATCCTTTCCTTTACGGTCAGGAGACGCTATGCAGTTAGATCAGAACGGCTAAAAAGCAATTTAAATGACAAAATTTCAAGACATCGTGGCTATGATTTTGTTCATCGAATTCCCGTTAGTATCATGCACATTTTCGTTTTCAACTGTAAGAATCTTCCAAGAAAACATTGCCCGTTGGTTGTTTCTTTCTTCGATGTCGACCGGTGTGGGCGAGTTAAACTGATTATGAGCTGATGGACCAAATTGCGAGAACATTTCCAAAAGCCGTAGCATGTGAACATAGGCCAAATTGACATCATCATCACGTACTTAACAAAACCTTCTCGAAGACTTGAAGCATGCAATAAGTCGGGATGCTGAGTTTAAAACTAGTGAGACTGAGTACGAAATAAAAATTAAAAGATGTTTCGCATCATTCCTGTGATCAGAAGAGACTCTGAACAAGTTATGGTTTTCATTGTTTCGAGGAAACTATAAGTCTTCAATCTGACCTTTTCGACATCACTCAAAGTTTAATGGTTTTACCTTAACGGTTAGCTTTTCTTACCTTCTTCGTTAATTGGTTTTATCTTCAAACTTGCGGTGTTCACTGTAAAGGTTGCAGAGGAAGTTAAAACAGGTTGTCATGATCTTCAACACGTATCTCTTTTTCTTGGAATGAACACTGAATTTGGCTTAAATGACAATTATTCACTTCGATAGAAATTCAATCGATCGTTCCACTTACGATCGACTCAAAGTAATTTTTCACATCTTACAACGGGTTTAAAATGGGAAAACATAGACCTAAACTAATATATTTGAAGTGAAAAAAATTACAAAATATCGGAAATAAATAATTTTACAAGCACATTCCAAGAGCAGCTTACTTGGTTTATACGTCTGCATGTTTTCGTGGAAACCAAAAAACATAGTCATGTAATACGCCAGAATTGTGAATATTTTAAAAACAGATTCGATCGATCAAATAAATTGTATTGTAAATTTATATGTAGTTGCTGCGTCATATGGTTCAACTTCAACATATATCAACTTTGTAAAGGGTAAGAAATTTGTTTTACATTGTAGCTACGTCCGTCCGAGAAAGCGAAGAAAATTTCGATTACGATTTGCTCTCAAGTGAAAAACTACGATATTTCGACTTCACAACTCGCCTTCATCGACTTGCGACGACAAATTCCTCAGTTCTATGCCATTTTGGTTCCAACAACGGAGGAGTATATATTTTCGTGTTTAAATGTACCGTGAGATTTCAAACTCGGACAAGAAAATACATTCATCGTTTCTTAGAAAATGTGTGTCATGATTGTTCAGGATTCCGAGAATTTTATCACACATCACAGCTTTTCATTCTCTTGTCAAGTGGTCAGACTTCTACTCATCCCTCTTCCTGCCTTTTGCTTTCTTTTGGATATGTGGAAATGATCAAATAAATTTTCATAAAAAGTGTCGGACGAGAAGCGAGAATATTTCTTTCAAAGTGGACCCGTCACGCGAATGAAAAGTTTCCTATGGAGTTGGGTCACGAAAGCTATTCAAACACAGTGAGACTAGGTATGTTTCTGTCTTTCCCCATATATTCCAACTTGAGAGCAAAAAGGTACCGCAAATGGTTTTTGCCCCTGGGAGAAGTTTTTGGTTGATTCCTGGTTCTTGAACCCGAAGTAAATTATCTAGTGCATCACGAATATGATTGCACATTTGCATATATCCAGATGTGAGTTTGTTGATACTAGTCGGGTTCTAAGAATTACACAGAAAGCTCACCAAGTTTAAGGCACTCTTAAAGAAAAAAAAAAACCTCAATGCTATAGCTCAGGAAATGTTCGGAAAGATTGACGAATTGCATTTAACAAGACTGTTGTTATCAGTTAAACGAGTAGTATAGCTCGCGATCGATGTCATTCGACAGGTTTTTCAAAGAAATGTCATCCAATTACGCTATCATTCGGCGAGGATAATTGAGTTCTCTTAGTATTGAGAGGTAAAATTGAAAACAACGTCCTAGGTGTTTTTTAGATAACTTACCCACGAGTCAGGAACGTACGATTCTACTTATCAATCATTCTTAAAAGAAAGAAAAAAATTCTGTTAACTTACATGCCATTTGTCGCGGTTTATTTATCTGGGAATCTTCTCTGCAATGCAAAAGTAAGTTTAGGGAATTTGGCGCTAAAACACCTAAGTTATTATTAACCTTAAATAATGTTGATCTAGTATAAATAAATAAAGTGTTATAGGCACTTTGAATAAAGATTTCTGGCTGAAAATCGCGAGTTATAAAGAATATGCATGAACCAGAATACTAGAACGTAGGTCTTATTCAAAGCTCTGCTCCATCTAGCAGGTCCTACCTGTTTTGAAGAAATCGAGCCAAAATGGCGGATAATGGAGATTCTTTAAAGGGGTCCGTTCAAGAAACTGGTGATAGACAAGTTTCGGAGCTGGTCCTTCATCGTCACCCAAGTGGAACTGATGCTGAAATTTCACCAGTGACAAAAAAGCTGGCTGAGTTCATAGCAGCCCTGCTTGTACTTTTGTATAACTTGCCAAGGGGATTCTTAGCCATTGTTCCCACCACAGCGCGTACAGTGGTTCAATATATGCAAACACCACCAATAGACATCGAAGGAAGAGACAAAATGAAACATGACGGAGAACAAATTAAAGTTAGTCTGAAGGAAATATGCCATGAGGAAAGCAAATTGTGGGAAAAGGTAAATGTCCACTTTCAAGATACTCACAGCCTTATTTTACTTAACTTAAATAACGACCGTGCTGTATTTGCATTTTATCCAAATTTTCTTCAGTGTGTTCTCTGTTTAGATCATACAGAAGATGCTTAATCAAGAGCAGATCCTAGGATATGTATCCTGTAGAGCTGTTTATCAAAAATATTTCGAAATTCCCAGAAAAAAAAATGGCATCACGAACTTCAAACGCCAGAACAATAAATATATAATATAATAATATACAACATAATAATAAACCCCAAAAGTGTGACACAACAGATACAACAGCTATGAATGTCACTGATTCCACCCACCCCACGATCTTCATGTACTATTACTACTATCAACACCCCATCTACCATCAGTACCATTACACGGCAACCAATGCCAACTATAATAATAATTGCCAACATCAGCAAAACTAACTCCTAAACTGCCTCATCGAAAGCGCAACAATGAAATCATGAGCTCGAGATTTCTATTGCGTGATAGTTGATAAGGGAGAAGCTCGAAAAACCATTATGCATAGAAATCGAGAGCGATTATCCGAATGTTTTGGTGGAAATGTACAAGTACCTAAAAAGTTACCAACAGGACAGGCTCGAGTTTCATAAAATTTTGTTTATAACGGCACACTGTTGGGATAATCACCGTACCCGCTCTCTATCAGGGAATAGATGGCGAGTAGCGTAGCCAATCAGATTGTAACAATTAAACTAAAGGAATAGCAAAGTTACCGAGTACTAACAGTAAATCTCAAGTGTCAAAATCTTTTTGCAGTTTGGCAACTTCCCTTATCATTCAACCATCGGCTTGAAAAAATGGGAATGGGATTTGAGAATCCTAAGGGATCGTTTAGCCAAACGTGGAGTCGACATACACATTTTACAAGGATTGGTGACTAAACTGGAATCAGAAGCGCACACTGCAATCAAGTGGACGATTTCCCGAGTAATCACAGGGCTTCTCCTCGCAAGTGCAGTGTTTGGACGTAAGTTGGTCTTTCTTTTGTTTGCAATAGCGTGTTTGTTTAGTTGCATCTGACATTTGCCAAAAATAAATAAAAATGACAGCATCAGGATACAAATGTCATACGAGTGGGAAAGGGTGTGTTTAGCTTGACTGCTTTCCCTTAAGACCCTGCACGAAGTCAAACCTTATTCATAAAAGGAAATAATTCCCAAGGCAATATAGTGAGCTCGTAAATACCTCTCAATACTCGAGTTCGAGGTCGGAAAGGCAAGATACAGCCTCCTCCAACGAGTGGAAAACAGCCGATGAAAACGAGTCAATCAAAGCTATGCATTATGCTTCATAAGGTGACGTGTAACGTTGTCGGCTTTATCAATCAAATCAAATTCTGAAGGAGTGCGAAGTCGAAATGTCGTTATCCACACCGCGAGTGACTACATCTCTTCTTTCCATTGCCCAATTTTGATCGTTCTTTAGATTGCTATTATTGGGATTCCATGCCAGGCGTTTGGGAAGGTGGTTCTTTGATCCTGGTGCTGATTTTCCTCGTGCGCAAGGCTCAAGAGTATTACATCATTTATCAGATGCTCCGTGAGGGCAAACAAGTCAAACGCGAATTGGAAGAGTCCAGGTGCCGTTATATGAAGTGCAAAATTACCTTAGAGGAGACCTTGCCCTCTTTAAAAGAGATGGTTGATAAGTTTGATGGTGGGTCTTCCTCACCAAAGATTAAGAGTGAATGATTAGATTTGCAAAAGGCTCCAAGAGGCTTATTCAGGGAATTATAGGTAACCTCATTCGAAACAAGTGGTCGCACAATGAACTAATTGTTGGCAGTAATAGCTTGGTCGACTACTACAGTTTTGTCACAGAAGATGATTTGAAATCTTCCTCATATAATACGCAACGATTGTTTTGCCAACAATGAGGTAGTTGTTCTTCCAATTTAAATTTAGTGTTCACAGTCAACGAAAACAATTAGAATTCTCCCAAGTACCTCGAAAAGGCCTCTTGAAGCTAAATGAAGGACTCGAATCATCACACTTAATCAAGTAAACCTAGAACATAAGTCATAAAGTTAATTCTTATCTTATAGAGCTTGAGATAACTCTCATTCGGGGATGGTGAGTAGAAGCACATGGTTATAGCCAAATAGCTAATTCACAGACTTTGAAATTAATAAGGAGTTAAGTTGGATAGCCTTATGAACCGTGACATAGCTTGATGAAAGAACAAAAAATTTATGAAAGAGCCACAAAATGTTAGTTGCCTTCTCTCACCTTTGTTCGCGCAACAAAGTGAAAATACGAAGTGACCATTACGAGTATCAAACAACTGAAGTCAGACTCAAACAAAGTATTTTGATCTTCAATGGTGTAGCTTATTTTATTATGATGAGCTGTTTCTACATGACTCGATTAATGTTAATATTTATAGTAGACACGAGGCACAGAAGGCTTACAACATTGTAGTTTTAAGTTTTGTATTGATTTATGTATTTGTTTTAAAGTTCCCTTTATTGTCGTAAAATCTAAATCATGTTTAACAGGTAAGTATTACTCTCTAGGTTAAAATGTAGGTAAATAATGTTAAACGATAAAAATTGTTAACGATGGATACCGTATGTCGTTTAGGTATCTTTTTGTAATTTACTCTATTGGTGTTGGGAAATAAAGGGAAATGTATATTTAAAGGATCTGATTGAAGTTTTTAGTCTGCTTCGTTGGTGCATTATTAATATAACTAAGAGACCTTAAAATCTTATCAATTCGGTTCATAATCTTTAAACGGAGAAAAAAAAGCTTTCCCTGGGACGAGCCAACGTTGCGAAGGAGTACATGCCATATGGGCGTAGGCATACTCCGTTTGATACCTTTTGACAGCGACGACGACTTTAAAAGACGTGTCTGATAAACGGCTGGAAAGGGTCTAGGAACAGCTTGTGTAGATATCGAGCCGGTGCAAAAGCACAATGAACATTTATTCGCAGGAAAGGGGCATCGACCGAACACTGTTTAAAGGTTCGATTATAGAATGGGCTAGAAATGTGTTCAGAAATGACATATCACACCGAGATATTTTATTTGCAAAGCACTGAAGTTCGTTCTTAAAATGTTATTGTCGATTATTGTTGCGAAAATTGTTTTTAGATTTTTGGAACATGCTTCTTATTGTTATGTGTGATTAATTTATTTCCACTTTTGTATTGTAATTAGTTTCTAGTTCGTTTGGTGATGTTTTCAAAACTGGGATGTTCATAGACGTGAGAGGGAAAACATTATAGTTTTTTTTAAGTTTAACGAAGATATATGAAGTTTTGCATTCTAAAGTGAACTTGTTCTCGTTTTTTACCGTTAACCCCACATATAGACCGGTTTCATCTAACATCTACGAACACGCAACAAAGAAATTGACTGATGTTTTGACAACCTCAGCAGAAGAGACGATCAGAGGCAAATTAAGTGTTACTTTTCAGTCGACTGTTATGACAAAATGAGCGAAAGTCACCATCAAATAAGAGAGGAAAACAATCTTTTACTTGATTCTGATGACCTCCATTCAGGATGCCGAAAAAGTCCGTTAGTTACCCCAACAATTTACTGTTCAAGCAAATCATCACCCGGAAGATCACAATGACACGAATGATTGTTACTCCAGGATTCAATTCCTTCAATGCACCACAAATTATCTGGTTTCCCAGAGATACATTGTAAATAGTGGAAAAGGTAGAATCTGCACTCAGACAAGTGACCATTCAGCCGGACCTTGTCCAGGTTTCTGTGGCATGAAGTGACTGGGAGTTTTGCCACTCCCCCTGGATGAGATGTTTGTCCATAGCAAAGGTACTCTCTGGCATTTCGTCAGGCTTCCCCAAACGTTGGCCGCAACTTATTCATGATCCTTGGTGGAAAAGAGGAACTATGTGGAAAGTGTCCCGCCCAAGATCTCAAGTCTCACAGGAAAACCTGGGAGAAAAGCTTATTACTTTCTCTGACGGTAAGAGTGACGAACGATCACATTGGGTACGATGGCAAACAGAGAAATGAGACTTGGGGTCTTTATGTATTCCAGAAAATACAGTAGAAAACAGGTCATTGTCCATTAATCATCAAGAATTATGGTCAGTCATTTGTTGAAAAACCTATTTGGCCTTTAACAGGTAACACAGCAAATAAACGGCATGCGCGAGGGGGTCAATTTTGGCCGCTCGCGCTCTAACTTCCCGCGCGCTAACCTCCCGCCCAAAATGCAACCGCTGTCCCAAAAACAAGCGAATAATCTGTAAAAGGAAACAAAGTAGTCAAAAAGAAAACTCGAGACTTTTCGAGCTAAATGCTTATTCAAGTACGAGTATCCTGTTTATTTACCATTCTGTTTCGAGCTTTACCAAACAGGTTTTACGCTTCTAAATCACCGTGACTTACCGGTCGGCTTTTCTTTGTTACTCGTGTGAGACAACTCAGTTCTGCCAGCCTGAACGCTTAAAATCCAATCTAAATTTACCCCACAATCGTGCAATATTCAGGGAATATCGACTTCAAAGATAACTGAAGAGTGAATTAATATCAATGGATAAAGGCATATATTTCATACCGAGGGAATTTTGGCCCAACTATTATTTACCTCCACCTCCACCTCCACCTCCACCCAGATCTGATTTCTATAGAAAGACTGTTATTTCCTACATCTTATTTTATTTACTTAAAGTACCGTACTATAACAATTAAAAATAAAAAAAAAACATTCTTACGATAAAGTTGCTTTCCATAAAGATGGTAAAGCTTGGATTCAAAAAGAAATACAGTAGCTCAAGGCCTAAATCGAACCGACCATTTTTAGATTGTCCTTTTAAATTGTCCATTTTAAGTTGTCCTTCCGTAGCATGTTGCTTAAAAGCAACATGCTACTAAAGGACAACCTGAAATGCCTACGTAATAGTTAGAGGAAAAAGGGAAATAGGATAACATAGCGTTGATATTGAGCAAAATAAAACTAACATAGTGCTCTTTACTCTTTAATTATACAACTGAGTGATGCTTGATTTCCTTGTCGGCTTTTTACATATAGATATAGGAATGTCCTTCCAATAATGAAATTAAAAAAGTGTCAGCTTTTGCTGATTGAAATAAATAAAACTGTTCAAACTGCCTGTTTATCTTGATATGAGTAATCAACAGAATTGTAACAAAATATGTGCATACTTTCTTTCTTGACAGAATTTACAACAGAATTCAAAAGAACCTGTGCAATTATACTAAAAGAATCACTAGCCTCAGTCTCAGTGAACACTGTTGAATAATCACCTCGACTTCGTCGGTTCCGGAAACTACTAAACAATATTCACTCTGTCTTCCGCACATAATTTTTAATTACAATATGATAACTACAGAAATACTACCATAATAATTATAATCTCACAATTCTAAACAAAGGTAGTCGGTTTAGAGACTCGCCTGCTACAACTTTGAGGGCTTAGGGTTCAAAGAAATATACATGGTAAACAGTTACAGTTAATACAAAAGTTGAAAGTTTGAAAGCTGAAAGAGATATATTGCAGTCATTAAACCCTCGTATCCCAGCGAAAATAAGGTCAATTAGCGCCATAAATTTCCCAATTTATTTATGTTAGCGGGAAATCATTAACTTTTGTCACTAAGTGCCTGTCAGCTAATACTTGCAGTAGTTCTGCCGAGCAAAAATACATTTTTTCAGTTATCTCAGGTAACATGGAGGGGAAGACCATAGGGAGAGGCCTGAAAAAGTCGACCTAGTGTCACTCCCACTTCACAAAAGGTTTGACGTCGGATCATGAACTCCTGGTACCTAAAGGTCATCGCTACGCCAGTCATAGCCACATGTTCTGAAAGTACCAACATTTATATGATCAGTAAACATTCAGCAATACATCCGGAACAACTCAACCCAATAAAATAATATTTGGAGGAGTGATGTGACATAGACAGATGCTTAACGTAGGAGAAGAATTAAGTAAAGCAGGAGTCAATGGGCTCCAATAAGAGCTCCCGATCGCAAGAAGGTTGTTGATCATTACTTGAGTCACTGAGCTCTGATGAGGGTTCACGGTCGCAAACAAATTCGTTGTTCAATCAGGGAGTCAATGAGCTCAGATAAGAGCTCCCAATCAAAACAAGTTTGTTGCTCGATCAGGGACTCAATAAGCTCAAAAAAGAGCTCCTGATCGCAAGAAGTCTGTTGATTAACCAGAGATTAAATGTCCACTAAATGAGCTTCCAATAACAAGAGGATATGTTTTTTGACCGGGGTGTCAATGAGCTCTGATAAGAGCTCCGGATCACAACGGTCGATCAAGGAGTCAATAAGCTCTGATATGACCTCCTGATAGCAAGAATTCTTTAATGAACCAGAGATACAATGCGCTCTAAGAGGATCTCCCAATCGCAAGAAGCTTGACTGTCAATTTGGGTGTCAGTAACTTCTCCTGTAACCTCCTCAAATAGCCAATGAGCTCTGGTAAAAGCTCCCGATCGCAAGAAGGTTGTTGATGAATTCTTGAGTCACTGAGCTCTGATACGAGCTCGAAATCGCAAGGAGATTCTGATCAATCGGGGAGTTAATAAGCTCTGATAAGAGCCCTCAATAACAACAAGTTTGTTGGTCGATCAGGGAGTCAATGAGCTCCCATAAGGGCTCCTGATCGCAAGAAGTTTTTGATTGATCGGGGAGTCAATGAGCTCTGATAAGAGCTTCCGATCGCAAGACATGCATTGCTTTATCAGAGACTGAATGAGCTCTGATAAGAGCTCCTGATTTGCAAAACGTTTGTTGGTCAATCAGAGATTCAATGTTTGTCGATCGGGGTGACAATGCTTTATCAGAGACTGAATGAGCTCTGATAAGAGCTCCTGATCGCAAGAAGTTTGCTAGTCAATCAGAGATTCAATGTTTGTCGATCGGGGTGACAATGAGCTCTAATAAGAGCTCCTGATCGCAAGGAGTTTGTTGGTTGATGAGGGAGTCAATGAGTTCTCATAAGAGCTCCTGATCGGAAAAAAGGTTTTTGCTGGATCAGGGAGTCAATGAGCTCTGATAAGAGCTTCCGATTGCAAAAAGTTTTTCGGCCAATCAGAGAGTCAATGAAGAGCTCCTGATCGCAAGAAGGTTAACGAGATTCAAATTATCACGCAATCTCGTGAATGTCACAGAAAGCTCGGCTTAATACTGATTTATTTACCGCTACATTTGCCTAGTCTACGATCTAAAAGTTGGCCTGCCCTTCTCTGACCATAACTCGATCTCTATGTTATTATCGAGAAAATCATCTCTGGAAGGAAATCGCAGAAGTTGAGCTATTCATTTAAGAAGGCGGATTGGAATCACCTCAGGAATCTTTTATATTAC